AGCACATCTTTCAGGCATTTTACAGTGTTGTTAACAGTACTTTTTATCGATCAGGCCAGTTACATTTATTGCCTGGGCTTTCCTAAATTTTGTAAGCTATTCTTCAGTGTTTCAAGAGGAACATTTGTCTGCTTAATAACTGCACCCACTGCTGAGAGTTTGAGGTTTGTAATTGCAAATTTCTATATCAGTCTGTCTTAATGTACATGGTACAGCCACACAATTTTAGGTTTCTAATACAGGAAACAAAAGAGCTTTCCAAGATGCTGATGTATGTGGGTAGATTTTTTTTCTGTTTAGGCAGGTGAGTAAGTACACTTAGCTTTACATCCTGTTTACAGGCATGGCATAGTGCCACAGCTGGTAACCACAGTACATGTGCAGAATTTAAGAAATTCCAAAATAAAGTAAATTAAATACATTTGAATATTTTAATCATTTTACAACAATAAAACACCTTGACCTGCAGAATTGACATGATCATAATGAGATTGATTACAGGTCCTGAGGGGTCTATAGATCTATATGTTTAATATGTACTCTATAAAACAAAAGAGAAGTATGCCAAGTAATTAAAAATGTATTGAAATAATGAAGAGCAAGGATTTCCTACCCTCGAGGCATAGTATTTAATACCTTAAATAAGGTAACATATAACTTTAATTGTCCATCCAAAAGGGTGGAAAGGTTTTACTGGCATCACCATACAAAACTACAAAAAACAAATTTCAACATAAAATAAATCAACATTAAAAACAAACAATAATCCTCGACAACAATGCATATACTGTTTATATATTTCGCTTTACCATTAAACATAATCTAGTCACTCCATATACACCACTATGAATTTTTTCTTCTTTAGGTAACAGTAGCTTGGAACAGGTCTATATTGCCTATATTAGCATTTCTAACATTTCTACGCAAGAACAGAAGAGGATTGATCTTCTGCAGTGCACCATACATCATTCACTGAAAGAGCAGACAGTCAAAAGCAAACTGGGTGAACACTGAATATTTCATGATACCATTGTTCCACAGCCTCTCAATTAGTTTACTATGCAAAAATGTAGAAAATTTAAATAATGCACAGAAAACCAGGTAAGGACACATTGCAAGTTGGTCTAAAGCAAGTTAGTGCAATATCTCTGGCAGGTGTTTGAGAGCTCTGATGAACTGGTACCTAACCCACTAGACACAGAGTTCTGGTGGGACTACAGCCTGGACAGGTTGTTCATAGATTTAGAGCACACATAATAACTCACATATACAGACAATGACAATTTAGAGACACTAGTGACCCTTCAGGTAGCAGACTAAAAGATGGAAATAACTGCATAACATGAGGGACAACAAATATATTGAAAGCAAAAGCTTTCACATAGGTATGCCTCATGCATTAAGCTAATAACATCCCAGCATGCTTAGGGTCATGGATAAAAATGCTGGACAGGCATAGTTGTCTATAATTACATGCATGGTCTTGAAAAGAATTGATTGTTAGGGCTCATTTGATAGGAGCATTCGTGACCAAGACAGCTGAACCTGCTGATGTTTCATGAGAAACTGTGTCTAAGGTGATGTCGGCATGAAACTGAGGAAAAGAAATCTTCGGCAAAGGCCAACAGTGCACAGAAGTGCATACACCAGGATCATGATATCTGTGCATTATTCAGAAGGTCAAGGAGAAACCAACGAGCAATACCTGATCCATTGACTGCAAATTTCAACATGGGGCACAAGCAGCCAATAGAAATAGAAATAGAAAAATGTTGGCCGAGAACTCCATAAAGAATGGTTGTGTTGGCAGTGCACACACTCCGTATTACACCTGACAATGCACATTTAATGAGTCTAGTGGTCCAAGAGCACAAAGTAATGGTCTACTGAGCAGTGGAGAAATGTGTTGTGTACACATGAATCTTCCTTGCCCATATTCTTGATGAATGAGCATGTGCACTCATTCAATCAATCAATCAAAGTTTATTTATCAAATGCATAACAATATAGCATGCAGCAATAATTGCTGGCAATTACGTCTTTTCTGCAAGCTCACGTGAGGGTTTTAAAATTTTAAAATCACAAAATTAAAAGTTACAGAATAAGGTTACATCATAAAAGTGCAATAAAAATTGATTAAAAAAAACTGATTTAAAATATAACTAGAACTGCTACATATCCAGGGTGTATGCAATACATTATGTCCAAATAATGCAATATGCAGTGTTCCAAATACAATGGAAAACTGTATGTCCATGTAACCTGACCATTTAACAAAGACCATTAGGGTGGTTGCTGAAGGTGACTGCAGCTTGGCTGTTGAGTAGTCTTATTGCCTGAAGATAGAAGGTGTTCTGTAATCTCTTGGTCTGACTGAATGCTTTAATGCCATTTACCAAATGGTAGGAGAGAAAACAGTTTATGACTTAGATTACATGGGTCTTTGAGAATAGTCCTGGCCTTCTTAAGACATCTAGCTGAGTAGATGCCCTGGATGTTTGGTAGCTCACAGCCGATAATGAGCTAAGCTGACTTCACCACCTTTTGCAGTGCTTTGCGATCCAAGGCTAGCAGCTCCCATACCAGGCAGTGATGCAGCCAATCAGGATACTCTTAATAGTGCAGCAGTAGAAATTGGTCAGGATATGTGATGGCACGCAAAACATCTTTAGCCTGCGGAGATAGAATAGGCCCTGCTGTGCTGTTTTCACCATGATGTTGGTGTGGTGAGACCACCTTAAGTCCTTTGTGATGTTAACTCCCAGGAACTTAAAACTCCTCCTGATGTTTCCCTGATGTTTCCTACAGTCCACAATCATCTCCTTAGTCTTACTGATGTTCAGAGAGACGTTGTTATCCTGGCACCATGCTGCCAGGGTTTCAACCTCCTCCCTATATGCAGACTCCTCATCATTTGTGATCAGGCCAATGACCGTTATAGCATCCGCAAACCTAATGATGGAGTTTGAGTTATGCCTGGCAACACAATCATGAGTAAATAAGGAGTAGAGGAGAGGGTTAAGTACAGTACACAGCCTTGGGGGCTCCAGTGTTTAGAGTCAGGGTAGAGGATATGTTGATGCCCATACTCGCCACCTGTGGACATCCCGTCAGGAAGTCCAGGATCAAATTACAGAGGGAGGCGTTCAGTCCCAGGTCCTGGAGTTTGACAAGCTTTGAGGGTACTATGAGGGCACTCATTCCCTTAGAATACTCAATACTAATCATGAAAATTACTGTATGCCCATCTTCCACCTATGTTGCAGCATTTCTCTCCTGCTAGGAGGAGTGTCTTAAGAAATGACAATGCCCCCATCCACAGAGCACATACAATATGTGGTTGCCCAATGGGTTGATGTGAGTTTGACACTGAATCTAATCAAGCATTCATGGGATATTCTGGAACAATGCCTGAGACATTGTTTTCCACCTTAATCAACCAGGCATGAGTTGATTGACTTTCTTGTGGAAGAATGGTCATTGGCCACATTAATCCTACATATTTTCAGACACTGGTAGACTGTTTATCACAGTGCATACAGGCTCTATTGTCTGAACAATTGTCCAACATCCTATTACGTGAATTTACATTACATTGGTGTTTCCTTGTTTTCCTTGTCCTCTACCTGTAGCTAGCATGTCTTTGGATTCCTTAGGTTATGCTAGTTAACTGTTATGGCAATGATAGATTCTGTAAGAATGCAGGTGTTACTTTTTAATTCAGTAGAAGCCTAATTAAACCCTGCATATGTCTTTCATTTTCCTCTTTTTCTACACAATGGGCTGTTATCAAAAGATTCTCATTGATACAGTGACTCAGAGCTAAAGCAGCTATACCAAAACTTTGTTGTCTCTGCAGACCTTCAGCTATGATCCTAGAAGCTTCAATAGTGTAGTTAAAGAAAGCTTTTTAAGCTTTTCAGCTTGCAGTTACACTTTAAAATATGCAGATGGCTTCAGTGTGGTATTGGGTTGTCCTCTAAAGCTCTTAGACAATGAAATTCTGAAATTCACTGTGAATCAGTCTCATTAGGGTATCATTTTGCACACTAAAACAGCAAAGGACAGAGATTTAGCATTTGCAGATGTGATTACTTTTGTGAATATCCTGAGGATGTGCTATGTCAGCATTGAAAATCCAGAAGGCTGCTAATGTTTCCCTTCCTTCTTCTGTTCCTATCACACATTTGTCCTGTAAAAGCAATGGGTTTAGACTTGAAAAACCCAACAATATCCCAGGAAAAATACATTTTATACTTCCATGTTCCATAAATTGTTAATTAAGTGTCTGGTAGTGCCAGAACTAGGAACAAGAACCAGGTGGTCATGTTACAGAATACATTCATGTTTGTTACTTTTGTCTTCTAGTGTATTTATGCCTACTGTACATATTCAGACAAAGTAGCCCATAAGGGATTGTGTATATAAGTCAATGCATACATTTCATGCCAAACACAGACTTAGCTGTCAAGGTCAGCTAGTACCGTCTATACTGATCGGGGCTTTTCTTGCATACCGAGCAAAGGATCTCTTCCCCTGCTTGTAATGGCTGAATATTATACCTTTCCTATAGTTAATATTCCCCTTTAGCTGAATTAAATCCATCAATCAGCATCCTCCTTTTCATGGGTAGTAATTAAAAGCAGCAGGTTGTCTGCTCAGTAGGCTATCTGTGCCTTGCTAAAAGTGTTACATCACCATGTGAGTTGCAAACAAACACAGCTGTTGATGTGTCTGTCACCAGATTTAAGTTTCATTCTGTGCTTTAGCTGGAACACCCCCCTGGAAAAGCAATTCTTGCGGTGCCACCAAATTTTGCTATGGAAGTAAATGAAAGACAGAACTTTATTAGCATCAGACACAGCTGTGTGTTTCCTCTCCATACGTATTTGTTTAGAAAGTTACCTTGGCTTCTTAAACTTGAGATTGGAAGCTTTGCGATAACTTTCCGAGCCCTAGTGTGGTGCTCACGTCGTTATTATTCCAATTCTTTTTTGCAGTTTCCCTTCAGGACATCAACATGAGGAAGGCCTTCAAGAGCTCCACAATCCAGGATCAGCAGGTGGTATCTAGAAACTCTATTCCCAATCCAGTCATGGAGATGTACCAGCGCTGTGACAAACCTCCTCCTCTCAACATCCTCAGTCCTTACAGGTGAGGTCAGCATGTCTGTACATGTCTGAGGGGAGGGTCTCACTCGTTCGTGGTTCTTTGCCAGTTTAGCACCTTTCTTGTAGAATTCCAGTCCCAGTTCACCAATGACATAGAGTGCCTTGCAAAAGTATTCATCCCACTTGGACTTTCACATTTTATGGTGCCACAGCATGGAACCATGATGTATTTAACTGAGAATTGTTGCCACTCATCAACACAGAGTACTCTATAATGTCAAGGTGAAAAAAATCTAGACATTTTACTAAATTAAAGATAATTGGGATGAATACTTTTGCAAGGCACCGTAACTTGTATTGATGATGTCTCCACAATGAATGAGCACTTTTGGTGCTTAGGCCACTCAGGAGTCCTCTTTATTCCTTTTTTTCTGTGAACGTTATACTGTTAGATCATCCCTTTTCATTTTTGTAAAGTGTAGGGCTGCAAGAAGTCCAGCTCAGTTCAAGAAAAGGTTTGAAATTAGTTTTAATTTGTTACAAAAAAGGTCATTTCCAGAAAACACCTTCAAATACATCTTCCTAAATTACTCTGCATTCAGTCATTCTCAAAGGTTTTTTTATAATCTCAGTATAGTCCCAGTAAATCTCTGGTATTACCTTAAATGCCATGTTTAGGAAAACCTTAGGACTGGCACATACGTAGAATTAACCTTGGTTCTACAAACAGATTTCCATATATCACACAACTGCATTACACAACTTAAATGTAACATTAATTTTCTGTACAAATACAACACAACAGGTGCTTATGCACAGCATTAAACCATCTTTAAAATACAGGACAAAACTCCTACAAAAACAGGCATGCAATTTTTTGTTTTTCCACTGCTGTGTCAATAAATGGTTAACTGCACTTCATACAACTATTAGCTAATAGTTTATTGCTCTGTACTATCTCAAAGTACTCCTGTATTTTGTCCGGCCTCTGTAGGGATGATAAGAAGGATGGGCTGAAGTTCTATACAGATCCCTCCTATTTCTTCAATCTCTGGAAAGAGAAGATGCTTCAAGCCACCGAAGACAAGAGGAAAGAGAAACGAAGACAGAAGGTATGTACATAGATTCCTGGATCTTCTTAAAATATCCTTTTGTGAAGTTTATTTTAATAGTACAGTATATAATAATCAGCTCATTAATAAACATCTTCATCAGATGAAACAACAATGTTAGTGCAGATCTTGCTGGCAGTCTTTGAAACACCCGTGCTTGACAGTTGTACCCGTGCTTAACTCGACAGAATCAGTCAGAACAGTGAGACCTAGTCCTTTAGACCAAAACTGCGAAATAACAAACTCTGTAAATAGAAAACAAAACATACTGTTGATCTATTTTTTTATTTTTTCCCTATGGGGTGTTCAATACAGCAAATGGTTTTACCAGTGTTTATTGACAACAAATTAAGTGAAAATTGTATCTTCATAAAGAAATTGAATTGGATGTACAGTATAATGATTCAAACTCAGACTGAATAGTTTCAAACTTGTTTATACAGTAAACTAGGAATGAGGGCCTATTGGAGCTCATTGATTCTATCATTTTTCATCCTAAGACAGCATATGTGTAACTGTGAAGACATTGGTGAATGATGACAATGCCAATAATATCACTGTTTTTATTTAATAGAAGTAATGTATGGGGATCTCATATCTAAGTAGGAGTTAGGAAGTAAAAAGATGCAATTTATAGCAAAATGAAATATATAGGACAGTTTGCCACCATATGAACAATGTACATTTGGGTGGTTAGCAACCTCATAACCCAGAGTAAACTATGCCCTGCAAAATTAGAATCCATCCTGATTTTCATATCCATCCAGTACCGTTGAAACAGAGTAGGGCAAGCACTATGAGTTAGACAAAGAGTGTGTTTCACTTATAGCTACTGAAATACAGTGCAGTACATGAATTACTGTACATATAAATATAATGTAATTAAATCATTTTTACGTTAAACTGTACCTCATTTTTATCTTGATTTACCATGTATTTTAACAAAGTGTAATTTGTAGAATTTTGAATGACACTTCAAACAAGCATATATTAAAGAAACATGTTTATATGATCTTACCTTGAGTAGTGGATAATTTGCACTTGATTATTACTGTTTACTGCACATTTGTATATGTTCCTACAGTCACCACCAGCTATACAAAAGGTAACATTCAAAACCTTTCTAAAAAAGACTCTAAGTCAAAAAGGATATACTCAGGTTCAGAGATTTTTTATTGTACATCCCCAATATCTTGACAATGGTAGCACAGTGAAATGTAAATTGGAGTAACTTATAATGGACTTCCTTTGTTAATTTTTTTGAATGAACAATTTTTATACAAAACTGTAAATGATCATACTGACCACTGTTAAATATGAAGATGGCCTTATGTCAGCAAAACCTGCAAACAAGATGTTAGAATTTTACTAAAGGAAATTTACCTATAATGTTTAGATTGTAGTATTTAGTGGAAGCAACTGTAGTGTAAGTGTGGGCTTGAACAAGGAAAACATCAAACGAAAAAGTGCTTAAATGTATACTCTGTGCAGCCTAGTTTGGCTGGGTGTACAAAATATTAAATTAGGGCGTTCCCACGCAGGCATTGTTTATATATGGAGGCTTTCTGGAAAGCATGACACAAACTATGCACCAATAAAACTAATATTATTAATGCTAACAACAGTGCCACTCTGCTACCCTCAAGTTTATTTTTTCTTCCCTCAAAGGAGCAGAAGCAGGTTGAGGATCCGAGCAGAGAGGTGAAGAAGGTGAGAAAGGCCCGGAACCGTCAACAGGAGTGGAAAATAATGGCCTACGACAAGGAGTTCCGGCCCGACACGCGCTTCTCCCCATCACCGTACCATGCCATGTCCTCCGAGGGCTCCCTCTCTCCTGACAGCAGGTACTGCTGAACTGCCAAGTGCAACTGGGACAGAGGTCTTCTATAACAAGATGCCCAACGTGCTTGATTTCTGGGAAAGAGCTGCATAGGGATATAGGGAATGATCAAGAGAAAATAAAATATATAGAGATTCTATGGATACAACAGAAGACTCCCTTTAAGAAAAAGTGGAATTGTCAAATTCAAGATGGCATCACCTACAATGACACAATGTATTTTCTTTCTTTTGTGAGAAAAAAGGTTGGATTGTCTTTAGTACCTCTTTTGGTTGCTAGAAGTAAATTGGTACAAGAATCTTTTCAAGCTGTTTCGGGAAATTAGCCAATGTGTCAACTTTGATGACATAACTAGGTAACTTGTTCAAAATTCTCACAACCCTCTCTGAGTAAAGAAGTGGCTCCTTTTCTCATTTTTCAAGCCACTTTCCCATAGTTCACACTTGTGTTCCCCAGATCATTTTTTACTGTTTATTCTGAATGAGTCAAATTTGTTGACATGGTCAGCACCTTTAAGGATTTTGTATACAGCACATGACTCATCATTCTCCAATAATCTTCTCTGTTCAAGATTTAAAAAATTAAAAAATAAAGTTATATTAAAATAAAAAGATAAATCCTTTCAAACAAAACTTTGGTCAGAGTAGGACATTCCTTTAAGCCCAGAAATGTATGTGGTAATGATATTACCATTATGATGATATACCATTTTTAATTGAAATGGCTTGAAACATTTAAAAATAGGAAGATTAACCTGATTTGTTCAGGACAAAATAAGATGATGTTTTAATTACTTGGCTTATTAAAACACAAAAATAGTTATTGTTCTTCCTTTTTCTGTACACATATACAATGATTATACGATGCACTGTTGAAGATTGTATGTGCTGAAAAGCAGAGCTTAAAACATGTTTTTTTTAACAAAAACAGTTTGTGTCATCATCGGACAATATTTCTTTGTTCCAGACAAAGACATCTCCATGCATTTTTTAATATCACAATTCAGTACTTTTCTCTTGGATTCATAGTATCTCTGTATATTTTTTGTTCTCTGGAATATTCTGGAGTGAGGTCTTCTCGAGTTTACACTCTGGAGCACGTAAAGGCGGAGTTGAGTATCTTGTTATAGAAAATCATTGACTGGATAGCCAACAGTTTGCTGAGAGTGTGGCAAAGCCTCTGAGCTTTGTCTTGTGGTCTCCATCAACTTAGATCTTGTTGGGTCTACAGCTGTACCAATATGAAAAACTGAGTAATTGGGTATGAAGTTTATTCTTCTGATGACGAATTTCAAGCACTTTCACTTGATGAATTCTTCACAATTGAAAGGAGATGAGATACAGTATAAGGAAAATGGGAAATGGCTTACACTGGCTATGTAAATAATAATTACTTGTGTTCAAGTAGTGTCTTACATAGTTGATGGGTCCACCAAAGTGCTACACCCATCTGGGAGACACACAGCAGCCATTATCCCTGAGCAACCCCCTTACATGAAGATCAGAAAAGTGAGAAACTACTTCACTAATGTAGGATAGATTGATTTACAAGCCCAAAATGAAATTTAACCAGGACACGAGAATTAACACCCTTTCTCTTTTGAATGTAGGAGGTGTTGAAACACCTCTGATGCATTACAAGGTATATCCACTGTTTATACAGGTTTTATATATCCAAAGAATACACTGTGTGTGAAAGTACACTGTCCTGGAATGTAATGTAGCATTACTCTGCTCACTGTTATTTTCTTCTGACAGATACTGCATTTTCAAAATTACTTTTCAGGGCTTTCAGGGCAGGTATTTTTGTGGTCTCTTAGAAGGCTCAAAATATTTAATAATAAATCAGTTAGCAGACACTTCTGCCAGAAGGAAATCAAAAAATATAATGTCACAGTATTGTATTCATAAATGCCATGTTAATTTAAGTAATTTGTGTTAGAGCTTTTGTGGAGGTTTATAATCTTCAGACAAAACTAACCAAATTTGTGGAAAACAGTTATAGAACTTATACCTAGGCTTACCTATCCAGAATGAATGGAACTGGAAAAGCTTCTCATTAGCGCCCTCTCGTGAAATATAACCTCTGGAAGCAATGCTGCAGATCACAGATTTTCAGCCTTTTTTGATTTGCTGAAGTACTGTACAAAGGAACGCCTGTACAAAAAACAATAATAAAAGAGTTTAGCAATACAAATAGAGTAACAATAGCTCAAATTATTGTGTCAAGAAACATCTGAGACTTTTTGGTACCACAGACAAGCCTTTGGTTTTAACCTTTGGTTTTGCAATACTGCCAGTTGTAGATTTTCCTTGGTTTGGTTTTCAGTCATGATAAAGCTCTTTTTTACTTATGTAGTCAAGGTCATGTTGGTCATTTTTCTGTTAAAGTAGGGTACTGAGCTTCTGTCTGCTACTTATTGATTTTTTTGCATTTCAGGGAAGCAGACTTGAAACTGATATTTGTGCTCCAAATATCAAATAGTCACTGCTCACTGTTGTGCTGTTCACAGCTCTGTCTGGTATATAATTGTTTTCAGCCAAATTTCCAGTTATTTTCCAAATATTTACCATATTTCCTATATGGTAAATCTGTTTTCCCTGACTTGAAAAACTCAAAGGTTTTTTTTTTGTGAAAGCATTTATTTTTCCATGCACATTAAATACTGTTGCATTCTTTCCTTAAAGTCCTAGGTCAAGGTCATTAAGCTGTAGGAAAATATCAGAGAGGTAAGCAAAACAGCAAAGTTATGCTTGATTTTCAAGATGACATGGATGGCCAAGAAAAATGCTTGCATTTCTGAATGCTGTCCCAAAAAGCAGACAAGTACTTCACTTTTTGATAGTCAGCACACTTCAGTATGCTTATTTAATTACACAGAGCTATAACTATGCAAATGCACTGATTGAGCTTTGATGAAGTTAATCATTTTTTACAATTCAATTACAAAATATCTATCCGCATACAACTTTGTTTTCTTCAGATAAATTGATCCATGCTTCCTCATTGCTGGAGACAGATGAGGGCTGATCATCCCTGTGTCCAGTACAAAATCAGAATGTAACCTGGGTCTAATGCTTTTCTGTCCTTTACAGTGAAGGTTAGCAGCTCAGGATTCAACAGCAGTTGTATTAAATTTCACAATGTTTGGCACTAAATTTGCTTAAAATGTTTCCTTTGAAGAAGTTCCTCCCTGCAGTGCTACCATTACTAATTCATTGTGCAATTACAATTGTGTCAGTTTTTTGCACTGGATTCAAAATTAAAAGTCCCCGGTTTTGTACAGACACATTATAGTCTTCCCAATCAACATGGGTTGCTTTAATATTGTTACAGACGGACTATGCTCAGAATGCTAGCTCTACAAACCCCCTGACATTGAATATATACTGTCATTCATCATATCACTCATATTATTATTTTGTTTCAAGAAATTATACTGAATATACCCCCTGAACATGTTCAGAAGAGGGTGGCATCATAACACATTGGTTAGCATTGCTGCCTTGCTGCACTGGAGCCCTGGGTTCAGATCCATACCTGGGTTACTATCAGCATGGAGACATATTGTATTGGTAGGTTAATTGGCTTCTGGGAAAACTGGCAATGGTGTGAGTGTATATATTTGTGTCTGTGTGTGCCCTGCAGTGGACTGCCATCCTGTCCAGGGTGTATCCTGCCTTTGCCTGTTCCTTGCTGGGATAAGCTCTGACTCCCCTGTGACCCTGCGTTAAAGCGATTTAATACAGGGATAAAGTGATTGGAAAATGGATGGATGTTAAGAGGAGTATGGGAACAAAACAAGGATTCTACTAGAAGACACTAGAAGTGGCATTGTTTAGTAGCACTTTCAAAATAACTATTCTCCTTAAGGTGTGAAGTGAAGTAGCACGTGCCCCTATATTGGACATTAAGATCTGTCTTCAGCTATGTAAAAAACAGTGGTGTTTGAGAGAGGTCTTCAATCAAGTTGCTTGGCTGCTTTTTAACTCAGTGTTGCTATTGTCAAACCTTTTGCTCCAATGTGTTTTCTGTGATTATGCAAGATCTTCCAGCCTAAGCAATTCTGTGGCTTGCACAAAAAATGTTTTAAAAACCTTATTCAGATTCTTATTCAGACCAGGCGCTGACCGTACAGTGTTTCCTGATGTTTGTGCTCAGTTTCAAGGTAAAAATGGAGATTGGCCAATTTTACACCCTGGTTAGGGATAGCATCTTAACACCAGATTAATTGTTGGGGTTAGACATCAGCTCACCAGGTCGAAAAGAAGTCCAGAGGAATATGCATAACATTGTGGCAAAATATCACTGATTTGGGTTAAAGGAAAGCAAAACAGATGTAGTAAAAAGTATTCTTAAAGTTATTATAACTTATATAAGCACTTGGTCCTTTTACTGTCGCCTAACAAAGTCAGAATCTGGAAGAAGCATTATTAATAAAAAAATAGCTTTGAAAACCGTGTTTTCAACACGGTTCGTTGATTGTGATTATTCTGTATATCAGATTTTCTACTTTCACAAATGTAACACTCAGGCAACGCAGCAAAGATAACAAATGACTGATTGGCAAAGGTTGTGTTTGTGGCAGAACCTATGTTGGAAATTTGAACACCCATCATGTCACTGGTTATAAAGCATTTCCTTTCTGTGAATTTCCCCGAGTGTCTGCTTTCAGCTGCAGACGTTTTCAGGTTCTTGTTTATGCATCTTTGAGAGACCTCGTCTTTTCTTTTGCAACTGGATCTGAAATGAATATTCTCAAGCTAATTCCTTCCTCCTCTACCTCCCCCTCGTCTTTCAGGTCAGTGGCATCAGACGCAGGCGAACACTCGTCCTACCCAGCCAGCCCGAACCATCCCTCTCAACAGGTCAGCACCTCCAGCTCCTACTCGGCCAATGAGAGCAAAGAGCTGCTGGCGGCTCCCAGTCAGACCCAGTCCCTCGACCGACCTTACCGCCCACCAGCCACTGTCCCAGGCCGCCAGAACTCCTTAGGCCGTGTGCAGCAGTCACACGCACCTCCGCCCACTGACCCAGCTCTCAACGGACCCCGGCCTCATGCGGTGAAAGATTACAGGTGACAATTTTCTTACTTGCTTCTCTCTTCCTTAGTATAGCCAAGCAAGTGTGTATGGTCCCCAGTTTCAGGTGAGTGGAGTGTAAATCACAAATGCTGGAGGACCCAGCTTTCTTTCTTGCCGTATAAATGCCATCTAATTTTCTAAAACTTGTGTTTTAGAACACATTATTCAGAATTGAATAATTAAAAGATCACAAAGAATACACAACACCAGAAAGACAACAAGTAAGCATATAAGGTGGGAAAGCATATGTAAGATTTGAAGTCATGTAAGTATATACACTGATTCTTATTTTTCCTGGTTGTAAGCAGGTGCAGAGATACACATGTGCTCCTCTTGCACCGAGACAAAGACTAAAAGAATATAGACTTGTTTAGTTCATTAAGAAGCTTGGGATAGTGCAGCATAGGGCTGACGAAAGCAAAAGTATCAAACATGTTTTGCTCTAACTGTGATTAAACGAAAACCAGAAAATAGTTAAAGCTTCTGTTCTGTGTGGTATAAAGTTCTTTGGGGTTTTCTATGAAATTATAAAATTCAGATGGATATGACTGTGATTAGATTCATAGATGGGTATGTCACATGGGTTTGTCATTTCTGCCTTTGTCTTGGACAGAGAACTTGGAAATATTTGTGGCCATGTGGTTTTATTAAAGTCTTGCACAGCGTGGTTTTTGTTTGTCTTTAGTCAAATCAGACAATCTGTGTGGCTTTTCTCTTTTCTCTACGCGCCTAGTGGTGAAAAATGTGATAGAGAGCAACAGATGATTATAAAACCAGAAAACGATCTACTGCAGATTTGCAGACACTGTTCAGACATGTTATACATTAAGTATTTTCATTTTTAAAACAGATATTATGCAAATGTAAAAGGCTAACTGGCACGTACTACTCAACCATTTTGTAATTCACTGAAATACTTAAAAATGCCGCCAGGTGGCATTGTAATGATTGAATCATCTGTTAGTAACCAGAGTAAAAAGAAAGACTTAGTAGCTTTCTGTTCTCAGCCTCAAAGGGTTGCATTTAGTATTCATACCGAGCCTGTCAATTTTACACAGAGGTGTAATTTTGTTGATCCAGCCTAAGCAGTACTTCAGGAGCCTTCATCTGCAATGAAATTTCAGCTCAGTCTTTCCTTGCCTTGTTCCACCAGCTCCCAGCAGATGCAGATGCCAGAGTACTTTGTGCCTCCTGCGCCACCTCCCCCTCCTCCACTCATCCCTTCTGCTCAGACTGCGTTTGACAGCCCCGCTGCCCCCTCGGCATCTCTGCCCTCCAGCACGGTCACTGCAGTGTCTCGCCCCTACACCCCGTCCCCTCCCCCAGCACCCCCTGCGTCCTACATCCCCTCCCCTCCCCATCCTCCTCTCGGGGGTCCTCCTATGGCCCCTCCACCCCCTCCTCCTGGTCCCCCCACTCACACTCTCTCTCCAGCTCACACTGCCACTCCCCCTGCCACCCAAGAGTCCAGGAAGAGCCAGGTTCCTCTCATCCCCATGAGCGATGCCCGCAGTGACCTCCTGGCTGCCATTCGCAGAGGTAAGTGCTTGGCTTTACCATAGTGAAGCTCCATGTCCTACAAAAAGAGTGGAAAGCAAGATCCTTTGCTACAAAAAAGGCTGAGATGTGTACAGAGCCATATATAATCTGCTGTGCAAAAGTCTAGAGTCATCTTAGACACACTCAGGGGTTAAATCATATAGAAGCTTTCAAATATATTCATATCCTAGCTGAACTGTAATCAAACATTACTTTAGCATGAAAATCCAGGTGTGCATTCTCTAGTTTTTGATAGAAGGCAAAAACTACAGATTTGTATGATAGAAGGCAAAAACTACAGATTTGTACTGGACCTGTCTGTATTTTGTGAATCCTCCTTTGGTTTTATTAACCTGGATAAAGCACTTCCTGTAGTCTTTTGATCGGTTCTTAAACTGCTCCCAAGGAATTCTTGACCATTCAAGAGAAGGCACAGTGCGGTTCAGAGTTTCCAAATGCATTTATTTCATACACAACGGCCTCATTCACAGAGAAGAACTGGAACACAAAAAAGTGTATCTTCTCCTGCTATACACAGCACATTAACATTTCCAATATTTTATACTTCAATGCATTCTTCTGCCATAAATGTCATGTTTAGGAAAGAGACTCTTGCATATTTATTTTGACCAACATAAGGATCACCATACACAATTAATTTTGACACAGCTTATTCTCTCTTTCCAGTTGTTCTAAATTGTCACATCCACTCTCTTGCAAATAGTCCACACCGCAGATGTCTGTATCTCCTCCTCTGGGTGTACAGATCAGAATCCAAATTTAGAATGAACTCTTTCATACACTCAGATCAAACCCTAAAACCCCATGTTGAACCTGTCGAGTTTCTCCAGGATGTTCGTATAATCTTTCCTCAGATCATACCATAAATGTTCTACCAGAGACTGTAATCAACAAATCAAAACCACTGATTTGTATCCTTTTTTCAACCTCATGTTCAGTACTGTTATCATGCTATCAAGTTCAGTTTTATGACAGAAGACACCAGTTTCCTGCATAAAATATACTGGTAATCTGTCTGTTCTTCAGTATTAAACTGACCCCAGGACAAGACAATGTTAATCAACCATAAGTAGAACAGACCCATAACTGTTCTTTATAAAAGGGGTGTTGTTTTCAACTAAAAGTGGTGAGGTTGTCCAAAATTTTATGTTTTAGCCAACTAAATCTAGAGGATCACATTGAAATTTGATTTGGAAAAACAATAAGCTGCTGTTTGGCAAATACATGTATTTTTTATGTATGTTGCCATGGTTCTCTGCTACAGGCTGCAGATTCATGAATCATTCTTGAATTCTTGAAGCCTTGAAATTCTACATTTGTGCTTCATATCTACAGAATGGGTTAATGAACTTTATTTTGAGTAAGGACTTAAAAAACAAAATGATATTCAAGCAATTCAATTTTGAATTGTTAAACAAAATAAAATTATTTATTTGCTGACAGCTGAACAACAAAATAGAACTATTGTAGTAATAGAAGCCCAATAGGAGCCAGATTTTAATTTCTCCTTTCAATTGATGAGTAAAGTTTCTATTCATTTGCAGGTATTCAGCTCAGAAAAGTTCAAGAGCAGAGAGAGCAGGAAGCAAAGAAAGAGCCAGTGGGCAACGATGTGGCCACCATCCTGTCCAGGCGCATTGCTGTGGAGTACAGCGAATCCGACGACGACTCGGAACTTGATGAGAATGAGTGGTCTGACTAAGGCAGAGGAGGAAACAGTGGGTCATCGTTCTGCTAAGTCTCAGTTTCAGATCAGGGCCTCCTCTCACCTGCTCATAGGGCAACTCCATAACAACCTGTTGAGCATGATGGTAGTTGAGTCAAAAGTAGCATACATACTGTACCAATGCACAGCTCCAGAACTGGGACAGTACAGTCAGCCTTGGCTAGACTGGAGTAGTGTGTCTGTGTGGGGGGGGGGGGGGGTTGTGGCCTTTTGGAATCTGTTTTAGGATTTTTTCAATTTTCAGCTTTTGCGGGACTTCACAGTAATTTGATTTGTCTCAGTTCTCTGAACTTGTTCATGAACTTTGTCTTCAGGGAGTTTTTCTAATACTTGGCTGTTAGGGAAACATTTGAGCTAAGTGGATGACACTCACTGCCTTTTGTTGTAAGTGGAATACATTTTGGGTTGAATATGTTATAATTTGCTGTTTTGAGTTTACAAAAATAAGATCTAGAGAGAAATGATTTTCATTAACAAAACATGAGTATAAACACTGTGGCCTGTTAACAACAGTGTCTGTCCTGTGTGATTTAGTAGAAGTTTTAGATTTCCTGCTTTGATGTGTTTTATGACAGAAAAAATGTCAGGCTAGTCCTTGGACAACCTATTTTAACTGAAAAAGGTTATTTCATGTGAAACTATCTGAATACCACTGCAGTATAGAACATACCTGATAAATATGTTCCTTTGCCTCATATACACCTAATCATAATTCACAATAGGTTTTCCAACTTAAAATTACTCTATAATGGCAAGTCACATACAGTACACTTTAAGTATTAATAAAAAGATAATGTGACTTGATTAGCAAGTGAGATAATTTTGGGAACAAGGGAAGAGAATTGGAAATTACTTTTTTTATGCTACATATTCTACCTTAAACCTCTGACCCTAAACAGTGAGATCTTGTACATATCTGGAGTACACATTTATTTAAAAGACTTCTCCCAAAAAATAATTTATTAAAATAACAAGATTATAAGATTATCTTCTGATTATAAGGGATCTTAGATTTCTTGTATAGACAGGTCAGAGACCACACAGAATGAAAATAAATGGAGTAAATAGCTTTTAAGGTCATGTAGTGTCCTATGATCTATTCTTATCAATTTCAAAATTAATAGGCTCCTCCATGTTTGGTGGGGGTTTGTGGTTCAGTACCATATGAAACCCTTAATTTTCTTAGCTCTTGGAAAAGACAAGTGTATACAATATTAGTTTGTGGGGGTGGGGGTGGAGTGCAGGAAAAAGGAAACATTTGAATTTTTGATGGTTAAAACAACCAATAGCAAGTCATTACCACTGGTAGCCTGAAAAGAGACAGTTATAGTAAGAAACCCCACATCTACCTCACAGCAACACAATATTGAAGTGACAAAGTGCTGGAATTGAGGATGCCTGATTTGTGGTCATGCACAGTTTACTAGATGATTTTACACAGTTTGTTATTCAGGCTCCATTTACAAAAACTCAGAAAATTTGTACAAATGCATTAAATATTCCTAAATGACCTACACCACACTGCACAGCCAGAGAAATTTACTTTTCAGCATTTAAAACTTCGACATGCATTCTCAAATACAAATCACACCTGCACAAAATAATCAGGTAATAAGAGATTTCCATTGAAAAGACATGTAAAGACCTAACAGATTCTAACAGAACCTTTTGAAAATGTAAAACGTGCATTTTCTAGTCTTGAATAAAACAAATATGTGCTTAGTAAGCCACATGTTAAAGTTTACTCTTTTAAAAAAGAGTAGCATAAAATAAACATAATTTACCAAAACTTTGGGAGCTGTATCATGTAGTGAGTTCAGTTTGACAATTCATGAATGAAAAGGTAAATGAGTTATGTTGGTTGCAGAGCATTCAAAACCATATATTTTAATATTATATTTTCCATATGTGATAGAAGTAGGTGTTAAAAGGTATCTTTTTCCAAATTTACTTAACCTAAAATTTGTAAAACACTACAGCACGTCAAAGAATGTGTTTTTCTCCCATTTAACCTTGGTTATTAAATATTATATAAAACCTGAAGCTGGCTTCAGCTTGCCTGTATAGAGAACTGATCCAGTGAAAGGGCTTTAAGAGGAAACAGCAGAAGCTCAGAAAGCAAAGCTATGCATCCATTAAAAAAGTCTAGAGATATCACCTACAAAACCAATATGTTCCGCTGCTTGCAGTCTTAATTGCATCTTTAACAGTAAGAGTGAAAAGGAGTAAGTCAATCAAAATGATATGAAGAGACCCATCAATGAATTCATACTGCAAGCTTTTCTATCTTCAAACAAGTCATTTGACGCATTTTAATGAAAGTTTTTTCTCATATTTCTGTGGCTCCTATATAAAAATGACAATGATGATTAAAAGTTAGAACAGTGGTCCGGTCGATGCCCAGGGGTCACATCCAAAGTTTCTCCCTTACATGAAGGAAAATGGAAGAACTTTCATTAATATCTTAAGGATGTAGGAATTCGGCCCTGATAATGCACCAGAGGGTGATTTAAGGTACACTACCACTGAAGAAGTGATTGATGGCAATATTTACAAATCTATCCCCATACTAAAGTACTAAGAGCAGACTTGCTCAATTCTTCTTTTAAAGTTTACAAAGTGTGATCCTACTGAAATAAAGGTGTCAAAATTCAGTGGTCTAAAGTATTAAAGGCTCTTGACGTCACTCCTACTAAAGGCCCAAAGTTAGTCTTGGCAGACTGTTTAACGTGAATCTGTGCAAAGAGAACTCAATTCCTATGCATTAGCCCTTAAGAACTTTTTTAAAACAATTTTGGCTGTCCTTAGGAAAAAACGTTTGATCCTGTCTGAAAATCATTGTCACCAGAAAGGCAGGATACTCTTTCCATCTGTACAGTACATGTTGCCATTATGGTCTCAATAAAGTGACAGTATAGGCTTGGCATAGTGAACAATCTATTGCCATAAAGCTTCCTCTTTCCTATTGTATATAGAAACATTCTCTCTGTTCCTTGGAACAAAAGTGTCTCTTGCTTGCATCATTCTAATTTCTGTGGTTCCCTACTGTAAAATGTATCTCCTCTAACTATTTAACATTGCCTTGTAGTATTTTTACTTACTAAGCAAATAAGATCAGGATCAATATCACCGTTATGGATACCAATATCAGTGTTATGGAGGGCGTGCAGTGTGTACAGAATAATTGATAGGTTTGTTTTAAAAGAAATAAACATATATATAAATTTAGAAGTTTGCATATAAAGCAATTCAGAGAGTATATGTACTGTACACTTAGGACAGTGAAAAGTCATTGTATTTGCTTGTATTGTTACACTCAAAGCAAATGTAATTCCCACAGTGTTGTGTAATCAGAGATGCAGTGTCCCTTTTTTGTGTAAATACTTTGTTGAAATATTGATGCCTTATTTGGCTTTTAAGTAATTTGAGGTTGAGAAAAGTATGTTTATCAAGGGAGCTACACAATTAACAGTTGGCCTGTTTCATGATAATTTTTCACCAGTTTCTTTGTGGTGTGCTATATTTTTTTCCTTTTTTATGAAGAGAATGTTAGTATCTCCAAAACCCATCACACCAAGCACCCGTCACATTAATGAGCACTGAAAGCTGTTTACCTATGGACATTTCATTTGGTGCTTTCTAATAAACTATTAAATAAACATTTTTGAACTGCTACATGGAAATATATTGTGGCATGGTATAACGGAAGCAAGTACATGATAACTTTTATGATAATACTAAACAGATCAGATAGGTAAAAGGACTTGTTAAGGTGACAGTTGCTATGTATGCACAGATTTTATGTACTAAACTTTATTTTCATGTTAAACATCTGAACAGCATTTTTGCCTAGCAAAACAAAAGGGACACTGCAACTTTCTAACATAACTTTATGAAAAACTGTTAGTACAGCCTGCAGTTGATAAGAGCTCTTCATGTCTTTTTAAACAAACTGTTGTATAGACTTTGGTAAGACTGCTCGTAAGTAACTTTGGATATCTAGATAAGAAACGTACAGTATATGTATCACATGGAGCATAAATGTAGGCAGATGTGCATGTATACCTAATAAACTATATTTAAACAAACACAAAACAATCTGTCTTTATTTAAACATTATAAGATGAACGCATGTGATACATTTTTATGTATTTGTAAACTAGGACAGTTAGCATCAAGAGGTTACATTGAAAATACAAGTTAATTATCATGGCAATTTAGAAGATGAAGATCCCCATTGTAATTAAAGCTTACTGTTTATTTTCTGCATTTGGAAAAATCTATATATAGCTGATTCAGCATTGCAGAGCAATGACAGATGTCACTGATCTTACAATTTCCTCCTTGCAGGCCATTTTTAGACATTCTCATAGTTAAATCGTATTCAGAAGGTTGGCAAGTTCACAAAAGCCTTGGAACACATTGTACAGATGCACGGTTATTCCAATGACATCATTTTTCAAAGTTATGGGAGAATTGGTATTTTTGTTTTTCAAGTTTTCTTTATGTCGATAAAGGGAATATTTGTGAGTTCTGTTTGTGAAAAAACATTTGTTTCGATTTTTTTTGTGTGTAACAATTCAAAGGAACCAACATTCGTTTGTTTTTCTCAGCTTTCATGGACACAAGGACTTGCCAGACTACCATAGCATCTGCAGAATAATTTACTTGTCATTGTCTATGCACAGAATCTGAGAAGAGGCATATATCTTCCAGGTAACTAAGACATAGTATTTAGTGGCCCAGGAGATAAAATGGAGAAAAATGGCTACTACAACTTCCCAGCCTGCCTCATTCCTCCTGAAAATCATTTGTTGCTTCAGAATTTGTCCTTTCTGTAAGCTTTTATTTTTCTTCAGTGTTGTACATTAATTCACATTTTAGAGGTGACTTTCGCTGATAGGCTCCATATCAACATATGCTTTTGTATGAACATTGTGTAGGCTATGTTCATGTTATACTTGTTCATTTAAATTACTGTATATCACAGATACATGTACAGTACATTTTTAAAGGGATATTTAAAAATGCATCTTCCTCTGTTGTGTGCTGTTACATGAAGAAAGGCCCACCCTGTCAGCTTGTCATGACTATCACTCAGCTCTATCCCTGACCCAGCTGTTGTTTCTGTGGTATTTGATCATTCACAGTTCTCTCTTCTGTAGGTCCCTACACTTTTAACTGGTTATTAGGAAAAAGAAACAATATACGTAATAGGTAAAGATAAAGTTTTTATTTTTTCAAATTCGGGCGATGTAGTTGGTGGAGTACCACAGGGATGTTTCCTACGAACATTGTTCTTACTAATGCATCAATGACCTATATACATTACCAATATATTTTGGAAATGTCTCAAAATTGCAGTTGCTAGCAAAGTACGATAAGCAAAGACTGTAGAAGGAGCAAATAAAATTTGAATGCATCAGCAATTAAAATTCAAAAGCATTTAGATAAAAATCTGGGCAAGGACTGAGGAAGCGCCTGGCAGACGGTGTTTAATGGAGACAACTGGAGGATTTTGCAATCAGGTAGCAAAAATATAAAATATAATTACCAATTAGAAAACACTGAGACAGAAGAGTCTGCTTATGAAAAAGACTTACTGTAGGTGTTGATACTGTACTGATACATTATTTTCAGTACATCTCCTATAAAATGTTGGGAAACAAAATTAGTAAACAGATTTCTAGGATATATAGTGAAAAACATTAAATTTAAATCTAGGGATGTTATGTTAAAGTGTATAAAACACGAGTAAGGCCTTATTTAGAACATTGTGTACAATTCAGGTAATCACATCATAGAAAATTGTTTTAGACAAGAGCAACTATATATCCTCGGGCTTCAGGGAATGTCACACATAAACAGGCTGTAGTCTACTTGACAGTGGACAACTGAACTTCTTCAGGATCTAACAGAATTACGAACCATATGACACAAGTGGAAACTGTGTGGAAGTACATATTCAGTCCAACTGAGAACCGGAAGCTCTTCTTTAAGGGTTGTGGGAGTATGTAAGAATCCACCCAGACATGCTGGTGAAACCAGGACCCTTACTTCTTTCAGAATATGAAGGGATGAAATATTAACTACAAAATGGGTGGGGTGAACTGCATAGTTTCCTCCCAGTTCTAAGTTTTTGATGGTCATCAAAACAACAAGAATGGAAAATGTATACAGTATATCTGGAGTCCTTTTTGAAGTACTGTGGACATACTATTCCAGTGCTGGATATGAACTCCAACATTTTTCATTTTGTAAATCATAAGGTATGTTCTTTTAGTTTTCTTTTTGTTCTCTTTTAATTTTAATGATGATTACTATGATTCATTGACCTGAATCAGGAACATATTTTTCTTTAGACTGCGTTTTTATTTAGCAACAACATTGTAATGCGTTAATATTATCAACATGAATTCCAAATATTACCATAAACGATAGTGATAACATAATCTAATTGAATTCTAATTAGAAAGCCTAACATTCTTATTTGTTCACTATTTCCCATAAAGGGACCAGTTATTAATGGACAAACAGTGCACTGCTGAAGAAGTAAAAATATCTCAGAATGTCACAGTAGCTTGTTGAGAGCATTGTAAACCATGTTTGAGACTGCTGTCAAGAGTGTTCTAAAAATATACTCTTACAGTGGATATTTGGGAGGCTTTGTCTAAAATTCCAAAGTCATTGTTTTCAAGCTGAAGGACCATTTTAAATACAGAGGAATCTTTTTACATGGCAATTCTGTAACTCATCTCAGTTCACAGTTTTGTGAAAGGTCAACCCACAGGTCTGTTGAGGCTTTCCTACACAACTTAAATACTTAAATAAAAGGGTATTGCCTTGGCAGTAACTTGTGGAATTAACACTGAAAGCCAGTCTCTAAGGAGAATGCATTAAGATTGTTGGATAATGTAACTGAATCTGAAAGCATATAGCTTAAACAATTGAATATTATTTTGTGATACTTAACCTTTTTTTATGTGCGTTTCCTCAAGTGTCATCACACTTGAAAAGAAAATACTGCTATTATCTTAATTGTATACCAGACCTTTTTTGTGCTCCTGCTCAGGTTATCCTAAAGATAATGCTTTAGAAAACTAGATAAAACTGAGTCATCAGCTTTTCTGTCTCATAACTAAGGAGGTTTAAATGTGAATGCATCATGACTGAGTCATGTTAGCCTTAAAACAACCTTAAATACATTTCACAGATGGAAATTTCACATAGTACAGAACAGCACAGATATACCAAATGCTGTTCTATGCATGTAACATTTTTTTATTATTATATTATGTTATTTTATTTAATTTGGGGGATGGCACGGTGGTTATATGTGACAAACCTCTCTCCCAATAAAAACAGCTAAAAAACTTTAGAAACCACATACGTATCCTGCACAAACAGAGTAAATGGATTAGACTGGGCAGAAGTCACTTTTGTTAATCCATCATCTGATTCATATCCATTTACATTCTATCATTTACATCTCTCATGGTTTCAAAATAAAAGCTTTTTTCAAAATGTGACTTGCATAAAGCTGGATATTTCTATTCAACGTGTTCTGAGGGAGGTAACAGTCTTGAACATTCTGCACATTAAATGAATTTATTGCTGTAACTGCAATGACTCAGTTAAGTACGACCATTAATCTGAGTCACTATAGAATGCATCCTCTTAATGAAAGAGCCAGCGGCAAAGATTTAGAAGCTTTATTTTCAATACATACTTGTTTTGAAGATGATGGACTTTAAAGTGCCACCTTGCATTATACGGAGCACGGTTGCGTCTGAGTCACACTGTTTCCAGCAGTGCAAGAAAGTCTTCTCATTGACAGCCCTTCTCATTCAATTTTGAGAGCTGGCCAAAGATCAAACCTTCTCTTAAGAAGAGTATTGCTGTATCGCAGAGTCGTCTTGCTTTACATTAAATATAATGTAATATCGTTTTAATGTTTCTTAAAGCAGACTTGTATACACTTATCAATTCAAATTTCATACGACTGATATATTAATGTGTTGCCAAAGCAAAAACAATTTTTAAAAAAGTAACAAAGATTTATAACTTTACTTTTGTTGTTGTTATTATTATTATTATCATCATTATTATTATTATTATTATTATTATTATTATTATTATTATTATTATTATTATTATTGTTATTATTATAGAGGTTTAGTCTCTGTTCCTTGGGATATGACAGGTCATAAACTACTGTAGGTTTACAGCTCTACAAAGTCTCCTCCCCCTCCCCCAGTAATATTAAAAGCTGCTTTGATTCTGGTGTCAGTTCAGATAACAAGGTGTCAAAGTAATCACAGTAATTCAGATCATGGCTTACTGAATAATTTCAAATACTTCTCAGTTTCTGTTCTTGGCTGTATGACAACTGTTTGCAGGGGACAGTTCCATTGTCCTTGAAAGCAGCGAAGAGGTCATTCGAATTTAACTGAGGGAGTGTAATCATGGAATTAATCTAGAGGAGATAAGAAGCAGTGAAGCAGTTTTATGACAATGTACAGTACCTGTGTAAATGACCCATGTCTCTGAAGCTGCAAGTGGCACGGGATGTAGGTCCTAAGAAGGATAATTCTCTTTCTCAAAATCTGAAGGCTTGCTTTTCTCTTTCAAAGTCACTTGAGGCCATTAATGGGAGTTTTGTGACACCATGTGGTTACATTTATGTACCATGTTCTATTGACTTACTGACCAACCTCCATCCATTACACACCACTGACTAAAAAGATCCTTCAATCAAAAAGGGACCATAGTGCCAACATTAACATTTCTTATTGAGTCACATTCATGCATCGTGTAAAAAAAGAGGACACATTTTCTTTCAACTGCTTTTATTTCTGTGTTGACAGTTTTCATCTTTTTCTATCCACAGTAATAAAAATAAATTATTTTCCGCAAGGAATACATTCAACACTTACAGTGCAAGAAGTAGCATGTCCCTTTTTTTGTAAAGTGCATTTGTACTTGTCATCAGAAAGAATTTCCATGGTACAAAAAAGTAAAAGTAAAATGGCATTATTTTGTAAGTAGCCATAGCATCAGTTAAAACTGACTACAGTACATTGAAAAATACTGGACTATTTTGTTCACAACCTATCCTATGAAAGAATGACTTTCATCCAAAATTAAGCTCAAGCATTTTCAGGATGTTATTTATTTATCAATTATCAGAAAGTTGCTAATTCCAGGTGGGGTATAAATCATACTCAAGAATCATAAGGTTTAAGGTGAAACAACACCACGGACAATGATCCATTTCAGGGCTCATACATACTTTAGAAGCACACCAATAAACCTGTCCAGCTGTCTTTGATACAGAAGGAGTCATTGTCCTTTCGGGAGCTGTAAGGAATCAGTGCAAAAGACCATGCCACCTTCCTATTTCTTTTCTATTTGTTGCTTTCAATTAAGAAATAAAGAAGGAATTACACCAGACTATATCTGTTTTAAAATTTAAATTATATAGCACCACGCTTTAGAAATAAAGCCCAACCCAATGGTTTAACATTAAAAAATAAAACTAAAAGATCACTGAACAATGCTGGTATTTTCTTGTGAAAGACGAGAAGATACGTGATGCATTTTGGAAAACAAAATTACGACAAAGTGAAAACAAAACAAGCCCTGTAAAGAAATGTAGTCTTAGAGAGGAAAAAGTCTTGTTAATAAGGGCAGGGGGCACATATTTCGATGAATTGTAGAAAAAGGTCACATTGTTACAATAATTAATCTCAGTGACCAATGTTTTTAAGATAATGTACTGTATCATAATGCCATTGCTGAAAAGGTATTTTACTCTTGGGATGGATTCAATCTAAAACCAACAACAACTACCGTATTACTCAATCCAGTAATAAATAGCATATTGTTTACCAGGGAAAAAGATTGAAAGTTCAGTGTTATTTGGCAAATGAGGGAATTTTAATTAATAATATTTATTTGTTTTTAGAATATTTACATTTATTCTCAGCAAACTTCCAGTAGAACGGGCTATTTGCGGAAAAAAAAAACATCCTCTACTTTTTCTACAAAAAAGCACAATGGCAAAATGGAAGACTGCAGACTCTATAACCACCAATTATGAAGGGATGTCTTGAATATTCTCTCAAAGGAAATCACTTGCAATCAAAGATACAAAAATGGAAATCATTAAACATTTTCTGTTTAAATGCTGGCTTGTGTGGCATCACCCCATGGCATTTTATAATGTCTGAAAGTTTTATTTTATTTATATTAAGCCTTGGGAAAATGTTATACATTATTTCTGTTTTGATACACAGCATATTCATACGGAGATTGGGTACACTGGAAACAGACAATAACTTTAGTGGTCAGCCATGTCATAGTCTATCCAATCACCAGAACTAAATCGCAAATAGGTACAGGAAGCCTGTCCTCAACCCCTCCAGCAGTGAACCCACATTCAGGGACACACTCACCCTCTGTGCCAAAATGGATTTCGTTGAAAATTTGCTGATTTCTGAGCATATTGTGGCTTTATGTAAGACAAAAGGCACAACCTCATTTACATTATGTGTGTCTAATGTATAGGCTGTAACTTCAACATACAGTAGTAAACCCTCGGCTTGATGGACTTCAGATTTAATGGACAAAATCTGCTAACAGAGAATTGTGTCTGTAAAATCAGAAATACAGGACTTTTCCCACATGTACAATAAAACGCACAAATAATAAAACAAAATAAAAATAAACAACACATTCTGTTGTTTTAAAATTCAGGAATATCAATGGACTCCTCTACGGGTAGGTCAATGGTTTACAATGGGTGTTATTTATGTTCCATATGCCTTAGCACATTTTATACAGTGTATTTATGATACATGAAATACAGAGCTTGTATATTTATGATACGAGGCACAGAAACAATTTTCATTGTGTTTTTTGCAAATAATTAGTCAAAAGATCCTGAAAGCTTATACTGTTTAAACAGTGTGTTTTTGGACTGAAAAAATGTCATTCATGATTTAATGGACATTCACCAATATCCCTTCTCCCTGGTAGTCCATTAAACTGAGGGTGAACTGTAGTTGCGAATGGGAGTAAAGAGCAATGGCACAGGGCTCTCTGCGATGCAAGGTGTCCAAGCTAGTGAGATTAGCAGTACAAGTAAAAGGCTTGAATTGACCATGGACTTACACTGGGTGCCTCTGAGATGACTTGCAGGTCAGCCTGATATAAGCCAACTTTTATTGTACATTTTCTGTAGTTATTTACAATGCGTATGAACACACAGTACACAGTAGCAACTACAGGGATGGTCAATACTTGACTAAAAGGAATTGTTACCGGATGTGATACTACAGCAAATGCTTTCCTTCTGGTTGGGGGACTTCAACATGAAGCCATTTCCACCAGCAAAAAAGAAAAATTCAAAAATGTGTTCTGGACTTTATTTTCCAGCATACCTAGCATGGCAAATGGAAGCATAAGTGTTAACAACTACTGGGAATTGCTTTGTAAATATCTACAGTACATTATGTCTATAATATAGTGTACAAACCAGCTCTTTAAATACGAAATTAATCAAATAGAGAAAACCATGGCTTCCAAAGTTATGAATAAGGAAGCTTTCTAATTAAGAATTTACTGGTTACAATATGCAGCTTGCCAAAATTGAATCCACCACCTTTTTCTGCACAGTAGACAGAGGGGATAAAATACTGAATCCTTCCACATACTGTACCCAATTGATCTTTCAGAACAGATGTCCATTTAGCTGTTTCATTTAGTTGAAAAGTGGCACAATGACTTTAAACTCTCAAGTGCAATCAATCACAAATTACATAAACAATACACTTAAAAATGGCACTTGAAATACTCCATCAGTTATTGAAGAAAATGTCTTGACAGATTTAAAATAAATAACACAGAAAAAAACACAGTAACTCAGATCATTGTGGTTGATACAAAAATATAGATTTCGTATATTACAGGATTGCATAAGAAAACAAACCCAGTCCCTGGAATGGAAAATTGATGCACCCTATAGCATTATCTAATTAATTACAACACAATACACATTGGCAATAGAACATTAATATTTTTCATGTGTTGCTTTCAAGGGAACAGAGACAAATGACTGAAGCAGACCACACACATCTTTTCCTACACATTTGAACCTTAATGTAAGACATTAGGTCACAGTTCTTGTACAATTTTACAAAAATAAAACACATTCAAGCAGCCATTGTTGGAAATCAAACCAATCTCAATTTTGTTCTAAAAAAATGAACAATACTGGTGAGACAATCTTGTTTAACAACTGTTCAAGATGTTGCCCTCCCCAATTTTGTAGGCCTGAAATTTTAGTTGCTTAAACCCTTGAATTAACACCTTTCTACAGCTGGCAAGTTTCATATTACTGAAACACCTTTCATTTCTCGGGATACAAGTGAGCTGCTGTATTGGAGCGATAGGAACGGGCAAGTAGAAGAGACCCAAAAAACAATTCAGCTATTTTTCTTTTGTTCTTTAGAATTTCATTCTAAGAAGAAGTGGTTTTACCTATGATTTTACGAAGGCTTTTTCAATTAGAAAATTTCCACTGTGCTTACAGAAACAAACGCTTTGGGAAATGTACAGTATATATACTTTATACTGTGTATGTGTGTGTTCAATTTGTATAGCTTAAATGGATAATGAAATTAAGTCAAACAAGTTTAACTTGTCATCATTTGTTTCCTTAATGAAATGAATTAAAACATTGTATTTTGCCATTATCATTATATACAGTGTGCTTTAAACTATGAGGTCATAGAGATGGTATTTTTGAAACACTCCACTGATTAAAAGCCTTCAGATATGAATGCAGTCAGACTGTTTGTTTGGTACACAGTAGTGTAATGTGCTAAGAATACCACATCATAAAGCAGGGTTTGCCAATACACATAGCGTAATCTGTACCATTACTTTACCAAATGTTTCAATGGAGTGAATTAGAGGGGATACAAGTTCAGTAGTTCTTTTGTAGTAAATGAGAAATTGTTTCAGAGCCCACAGATTGTTATAATTCTCATGTGAACTGCATTGCAGCAGGAATTACAAGTCTTTTTACATCACAAGTTGCTTAACCTGGATAGAAAGTGAATAATTAATTTTATTAGATAAGTGAGCTCAGGTACAAAATGTCTTGTGGGTCTCTTTTTACTGACCGTACTATGAAAGTAATAAACCGAATAAATGATGCAGTTTTATTTTCACCAGTTTAAATCTGAGAAACTCACTTTGTTACTGCAGTTAAAACCTGAGAAAATTACACTGACTTAATGAAATGCAACATGTTCCTTAGATGTGCCAATTGTTTATGCATGATTTCTTAAGGTTGATTTATGCTGTAGAATGCATACCTAAAAGTGCATCATTAGACAACAAACATACACATACAGTATCCACAAGGACATCACTTTAGGTCAGTCACTCAAATGTGCTTGGCAGGTACTGTTGCACATACACTAGAACACTGTTCAATTAATTCAGCCTACAAGGCGTAAAATAAAAATAAATCACATATCTGCACTAGTCTACCCTATGTAGCTTTGTTTCTATTGTGAATTTATCTCCTATCAGCATTATTTGAAAGGATCACATTTTATTTTTTCATTGCAGCTGTCAACATTTTTTAAGAACAGAGAGCTTGACTTCAGAATATATATATATATTTAAGATAATTTAGGCATATGTTGAAAGCAGCCTAAGGCCTCAAGTGAAGACAAATTTCATTTTAGCTCTTAAGTAATATTAATGAACAGCACAAAAACACATCACACATTATTGCAGTCATGCTTAGGTAAGGCCAAAATCTCAACAGATTCTTTGTCAAAACTAAGGTGGTAATTCACTAAACAATAGAGAAGAGACTTCATGTGACCCAATTGTTTGCATAATATTAATTTGATTTGCTGCTCAAAATACAAAAAAGATGACTTTAAAAAGTTTCCAAAATACAAAACTATTAAATTATTTATTTTACATTAGCTCATATGCGCCATTTTCACAGGAGTCAAGTTTTTGGTAACAGCATTGTTTTAGTATTTATTTTAGGATTATCTTGACTATTTATGGTAGCCTTGGAAACCAAACACCAAAACAAGAAAAATAAACAAAATAACAGGACCAAAGTCCTTATGTATCTCAGCTGCAGAAGAAGAAGAATATAATGTAAGGTTGAGATGTTTTTGTATAATATGTCAATTGTAGAGTCCTCATCAATGTATGTACATAAAGAAATCAACACAAATTATTTACATAAAAGTGCAGAGAGAAAATCCACATGCTGATCATTCAATTTCATGTTATGCCTTTGGTCATAAAGAACTGTAGCAGAGTACATTTCCTATGTCTCTTCAAATACTTTCCTGGTTTACATATGGGCAAAGGGAGAAAAACCTCTGTAAATATATCAATAATTAAAGAAAACAAAATTCATAATTAAGGTATAATGAAAACTAGATGACCATATAACTGTAACCAAAGCTTGGCTCCCTGATTACTAGGATATAAAAATCACATTCTTGACATCAGTAGTGCTTTTTATTAAGTGCAGGATTATAAGACACACTTTAACGAAGTCCTTGATTTGTTACAAAATGCACTGAAAGACATCTGTTAGTTTCCAAAACACTTACATTTGGAGGTTTTTTTCTTTAATTTTGGAGTTTTTATAAACCTCAGTAAAATACAGCACTTCTTTTCAAATAAGCACTCCATATATCCTATGGAGAAGCTGCATATATTCTTGCAGTAAAACTGATGAACAACTACTGATATAGATTTAGTCTGATGTCATATCACTTGTATTTCCAGTGATAACAGTACAGTTTGTTTCACTGGTTTCTTTAAAAAAAACTTCATTCAAAAGATTTACTGTACGCCTCTCTATTTTCTAACTGCTTTATCCAATACAGGAGCCAGATCCTCTCCTAGCAATTGACAGGAGCAAGGCAGCTGAACTACATGTCCAATCCAGCACACACAGACAAACATGCACAGACTCATACCAGGGCCAATTTTCCCAGAAACCAGTTAGCCTGTCTGTATGTCTTTGAAATGTGGGGGGCACTCAGTGGAAACCCACACAAACATGCACAGAACCATACAGTAAATCTGTATGGAAACTCTATACAGATATCTCCGCAGGTCCAGAATTAAACTCAGGAACACAGCACAGCAAAGCAGTAATGCTAACCACTGTGTCATCATGTCATCCATCGCGAAATTTGATAAAGCATTTTGGGGCACAAAATAAAACAACAGTTAGAAGGCCTTCTAGCCTTTCAGAACTAGATTCTCAAAAAACAGAAGAACTGCATCATTGTACTGTACAATACATCCCCACCAACCTTACTTTACAATCAATGAATGAAAATTCTGAAACACAAAATGTCAGAAAAGGAAACAAGTGAAGCTTCAGTGATCTCAACAATCATCTTCCAGTCCATTCCATTGCAAGAATATATATATAATTACTATCAATGTAAACATTTAGTAAAACTGATGAAAACCAATAGAATATCTATGCAGTCATCTGCTGCAGGCTAACAGTGACATTAATTGAATGGTCAGCATGCTAAGAACCTCTTTACTTGAAATGTTAAGCAGTTATATATCACAATCTTTATTCATATGAATTTAATGGCTTCTGCAGTTGATATTGATTTTATCAACACAATTTGGGCATTATCAGAAGTGCGGTTCCATAACAATCTTGAAAAGATACAAAAATCAGCATTCAATTGAAAACAGATTGTATTTCATTGTTTTAATTACCTTATAGCTCCTTTGAAGAAAAGTACACCTTAACTAAATGAAAATATAATTTTCAATGCATTGTCAAAATTGTACATCAGTGGGATACGAAAAGCTCTGCCATTTGTCTAGTTTTATTGAACTGATTGCCAGTCGCTCCATTAATCTCTTGTTTTAAAAAATATTAAATTTTGTCGCTGGCCATAAGCCTTTCAAGTACCCAAGAATTAATCTTCCAAAACCATGGCACTGCCTAAGTATGGGAACTGACAAAAAAAAAAAGAATTTGCCAGTCAACAAGGACAATCAAGTGTAAAAAAGCGATTTGTGTATACGCATTTAGAGAAAGTTAAATGGCAGGAATAGCAAGTTCAAAACCTTAAATCAGTTTGTTGCTGTCCATGGTGCTGAAATCGAGTAAAAGTACTGTGTACTGTATAACTACGCAGAATGGGACAGTGGAATACAGCTCATGTTATGCATTTATCAGACAGTTCTGCAACCTTTGAATAAACAGTATTTACACTGTTTACAATGTTCAAAAAGCATAAACGATTAATAACAGCAGGTCAGATATTCCGTTTGTTCAATGGGAGCTATTACTGATGTATATATCATATGTATTAAACTATAGTTAGATTCTGGGACACATTTATAAATAGATCGACGCCTGATCCATCTTTCAGATTCACCTAACTCTTAGATTGCGTATCTTTTTAATTTTTTTCAAATCTTCAGTTTTGCCATATATATATATATTTGGATGACAAAAACCACAGATTGAATTGAAAGGTCACCCTGTCATCCTGAATATTAATAAATAAAAATGGCGAATATTCTGGCAATGGTGCCAATGTGTACTTTGTACTATCGATATGTAATATATGTCTGAGACAGAAAAATGCCACACAAATGGATGATTTCCGTTAATGGAAACTCCCGAGGTGCACTCACCTAAGCAGAACGGATATGTGCAGTTTCTAATTCTATACACCTGGATTTTGCGAAATTCTTATCAGAAACAACGGAAGGGAACCCCCGGTCGGGAAATTAAGTTTTGTAATAGCTTAATAACTGTATCGGCAAGAGTGCATTTTTTTATGTTCATTTACAGTATTTCCAACGCATTAATAACGCTCCCTTAAAACCATGGACCTGTTACCTTAAGTACAATCGTAATGGTATGCTTATTTTACTGAATTTACACCGTGTTATTTCTTGAGAATCTCACCTTTTTTTGGCAATGCATAGTTTGCACCACAGAGCACAAGAATATCCTCGGGGAAGGTACTATTGATGAAATCTTGATGTTGAACACAAAAATGTGAACCTATACATCACTTGACGTCCTTGGTCTCAAGGAGAAATTAGAAGGAACACAACCGCAGCAAGCCAGCCAGAGAGATTTCTGCATGTCGGGGTTTCTGAAGGCGTAAATGATGGGATTAATTACAGAGTTGCACGTAGCAGGCAGGACCGTGGCATAGGTGTAAATCATGGGGTAGCTTGAGTCTGCCACCAGGGCATACATGGCGAAAGGGATCCAGCACAAAGCGAAGGTCCCCAGAATAATGGACAAGGTCGACACCCCCTTAGTAGTTGAGGAGGCGTGGGATGTGGCCATGAATTGATGCTGGACTGCAATCTGCTGTGCGTGTCTGAAGGCAATTTTGCAGATCTGGAGATACAGCTGCATCATTAGAGCGAATATCAGCAGGAATGTCACTGCCAGGACGGCGGCATTGTTTTTGGTCACGGGTCTAAGTACGCTGCAGGACGACTCGTTGTCCAAACAGTTCCAGCCCATCAACGGTAGCAATCCCAAACTAATGCAGACTAGCCAGATGAAAACCAACATCATGTAGGTGAAAGTTACCGTCCTTTCCGTGTGGTAGGTCAGTGCGTTGTATAAAGACAGGTACCTGTCAATGGTTATAGCCAGTATATTACACACAGACGCAGAAAAAGCAGCGATTAGTAGTCCGGCGGAGATGAGAGAAATAAATTCTGAGTTCAGCATGTAGATAAAAACAAAATTCAGAATCAGGCCAAGTCCCGCTAATAGATCTGCAAAGGCAAGGCTCCCTATGAGAATGAACATAGGCGCTCGGAGGGTAGGAGTGTAGAAAAGAATGGCAATTACAATGGCATTTTCGCAAGATATGAGCGTCCCAGTGACACACAGTGCGATGTCCCACGGGCTAACAGGCAGTTGCCGCAGATCAGAGGCTCTGACGAGCGATGAGTTTCTACCGTCTTGAAAATTCCAGTTCAGCGAATTAAGAGAAGAGGTGTTTGGAAGTTGGTTGCTCATAGCTGCGGCAAGAGTGTGAATCATAGCTAACGGGGGAAGAAGACGAGGGAGTTAGGAGAGAGAGAGAAGATTCAGCATGTAGATTGCAACGGAAAAATACAAAAAACAGGGGCAAATGGGGTGGAAATATCTCCACAGCATACACCTACCCCGCCCTGAGCATACAAACGAACATACACTTGAATCAAAGAATCACCGTATTCGCTCTGCTTTACACAAAATATCAGAAATGCTTACGTACAGTATATTTTAAGCGCATTGCCTATTATACGAAAGAAGCCTCCGTCATATACTGTATGCTAACATGCTCGCCTTAAATAATCACAAAAAACGACTATGCTACGAAAGACAAATTGGGAAGACATCATAAACCATACAGAAGTGGGAACAGTTAACTATATTTTAATTTAACGTTAGAAACACCTATATAATGCTCATAGAAACCCACCCTAATGTATATTATGCATTTCAAAACACAAATGCAAACACCCCATAAAACTTAATTAAAACAATAAAAATTAGATGCACCAGCCCAGCATGACACAAGGCAAAAAATAAAACCACATGAAATCCGCTATTTGTAAAGTAGCTATTTATAGACTCAAGGTAAAAACCGCGTAGGGTTTTAATTATAAGCATTAGCTACTACTGCTTGCAGTATTTTGGAACAGTAACCTCAACACGCTTTCCGATATAAAAAGCAGAACTATTTCTTGTGTGCATGCTAGAGAGATATTTCACTTACACTCCTTCGTCAGCAATAAAGGACTAACAAAGGTCACCAAGTACATCGAGGGTGCATCCTTTTAAGACGTACAATATGAAAAAAGACTAGGAAATCAGGCGCCCGCGCGTATCCTATCCCAAAGCACATAGACTATGTAGCCTATACAGTATCTAACGCTGTTATACTGCGCTGCAAGGTTTTATTTTACACACTAGTAGTCTGTCAAAGGTACACTAGGGGGTAAAAACACTAAAATTACCAGTTCCTGATTCCGCTTTGTTTAAAGCCGCAGGATCAAGTCTTTTTTTCGGTCTCCGGGTCCTTGGAATTCAGCGCTATTCCTTGGTTAACATTGCTAATAATGTTGGCAGATTTCTGGCACTGACTTGCACTTAATATTCTGCCCCATTGGGTCTGCTGATAAATCTCAGCTCTGACGTCAGAAGTGTTCACTATATTCATGATCAGGTCCCTAGTCTGTGAATCAGAGAAGCTGTGATCAGAATAATAATAATAACGACTTCTTCCTTCTGCTGGAATTTCATTCATAACGTCTCTGTGGACGTCGTAGCTGCTTCACCCCAAGGTCGTTCCACGACGTTCAGGTGCGGCAGCGATAAAAACTGCTCCGTCTCATAGTCTAAAAATGAGAAATCGACGTAAACCTCGCCAAAAGACGTCTTTCAAAAAATGAATGAATAATCATTACCAGCAACATAAGTTAAGAAGTCAATTAAAATTCAACATCCCATTTAAAAAACGTCGCATTCTCTGATGGAAGCCAGTTCACTTTTGTCGTGGTCTTCTATAGCCTGCTGTACGGGATTAAAATAGAAGAACGCGGGAGGAATCATATTAATATATTCGACATTTGAATTATACATGTACGTGTGTGAGAGACGGGTAAAAATTGTGGTTAATTGAAGTAATGTACATTTTACTGTATGGGTTTATTTTGATTACACTAAATTGTCATTGCGTTTTCTATTGCCCATCGATTAAATTAAATGCCCTGTCATTTAAGTGAAATTGGCTCAGACATCATAATTTTTATAATTAGATTATTGCACAATTTGTTTCAAGTAAAAAACAAATTTTGACCAACTAAACGTTGTTAAACATATCTGGCCTGAGTTTCCTGTTAATCCAAGTAAATGGTGCACTCTTTTATAAATCATGTTCAGAACTCTGTTGTCACGTGTCACGATATATTTCCACGGCACTATATAATATTCTTATTAGAGAATAGGTGCCATATGTCAATCATCACTATTTAAAATAAAGACAACCTGGATGAAATCGCAAAAAATAGGTAAGCTGTGATAATAAACAAAGAATCATTTAGTCATATATAATATGGGTTCCAAGCCTGAACATTTCAATGGTGTCTGTCAATGCTTTTCAAAGGTAAGGTAGTTTTACATGTGTATCATTGTTTGATAAAAAAAATATTGAGTAGGTTTTCATATTTGAGCTTAAGTGAGGATTCATTAGGTCAGTTCCATAAAACAGCACCCTAATGTTGTTAACAATATTGTTAGTAAAATAGGGGGATGGATTGTTATTATAAAACTAGGCACTATACCTTTAAGTTAAAAAATACATAATGACTACATTCACGTTTCGTTCTTCTGTCTGTGGATCAGGAAGAACGTGAGCAGAATAATGAGTAACGTTTTACTACAATGCTGCTGTTTCATTCATAAGCTTTTCCGCGAATCGAAATCCCTTGCAAATCAAGTGAGCAAGGGAAGCTGATGTCTAGATGATGATCAGTGCTCAAAAGTGGTGTTCAGGCTAGATCCCCCAGTAGAAACTTCTGCGGTGCTCTTTGCGCAGCGCGAATTCTTTATGACATTTCAAGCATACATTGAGCACTCCAGATGCTCCTGTAAACTATTTGTAAATAATAATTCAATTTTCCTCTTGTTTACAAATAAAGCAATACGTTTTTATTTACTTTAAAACGATTACGATTCCCCCTACCAGAAAACAGATCACTCCTTTGTTTATTACTGTCTTTCTTGATAATAGCCCGAATTTCGGGCTGATGTCGTCAGAGGAAAATAAGACATCTTACAGTTCTTATATTAGCCCTTAAGTTTTTTTTTTTTCAGAAAGGACATGTTTGCGAACCTTTGCATGCTTACACTGGCTATGACCTTCCATTAAAAAAACAGGTAAGGTGTCTCTTTTTTTAGAAAGTATTCAGTGATAAAAATGAGCTGGGCAGAAAAACAGGCAATGTTAGGAAATTATAAGCTTGGAAACACCATTTTATAGGAAACGCTCATAGACTGCCCAGGGAAGGTCAGTCCACATTTGCACACAGAGATTTTTCCCTTGGGTCCGAATACCATGCTAAAGTTCTCACTGTTGCCTTTAAAGTGATCATATTTCCTAATTTTATGAAAGACCACCCTTCCCACTATATACAGTATAGAGACACACACCAACACATAACACCGAGCTTAAGCCTAAAGCAAATAGCTTGCCACTACAAAAACTGAGGAATCAATATTACACAAATCAAGTGAGCAAGGGCTGCATTTGATCAATGCCAGAAACCTGAGATTTCCCACTGTGTTACATTCACCTCATATGTGGTGATGACTAGATGTTCTTGCATCTGCTGAGGCTGCTGGTTTGCCCTGATTTCAATTTTCTTCCCCATGAAGAAAATCTATGATTTTCTCTGTGGAGACCTGCTCTGTGAAGAAAAACACTTCAGTCTTGTAGTAAAATATAAATTGTACTGTAAGTGAAGTGGCAAGCTGTTGCTATTGCTAAAAAAAATCTCTCCTGCAGCTAAGACCTTTCACCAGCCCACATGTCTTCTGGTGATTTGCGTTTTAATCACTGAATCAAATAAAAAAAAGTTCCAGAAAAACAAGTTATCCATGTGTTGCACTTTGCTTTTTCCTATGAGCAATGCAACAGATCTGAAGTACTAACTACTATATGATATGGTGAACCAGTAGCCATATCACTGTGCAACTCACAACTGGCAGCCCACTGAAGCTAAGCAGGTGTGAGCCTGGTCAGTACCTGGATGGAGACCTCCTGGGACAGACTAAGGCGGCTGGTGGAAGAGGTGTTAGTGGGACCTGCAGGGGGTGCTCACCCTGCAGTCTGTGTGGGTCCTAATGCCTCAGTAGGGTGATAGGGACACTATACTGTAAAAAGGCACTGTCCCTCAGATGAGATGTAAAACCAAGATCCTGACTCTCTGTGGTCATTAAAAAAATCCAAGGGTCTTTCTCGAAAAGAGTAGGGGTGTTACACCAGCACCCTGGCCAAATCTCCCCTTGCCCTTTACCAATCATGTCCTCATAATAATCCTTTCAATCCCTTAATAATTGGCTTCATCACTCTGCTCTCCTCCTCACTGATAACTGATGATGAGCGTACTGGTGCACTATGGCTGTCATTGCATCATCCAGGAGGGTGCTGCACATTGGTGGTGGTGGAGGGGAGTCCCCAGTGCCTGTAAAGTGCTTTGATAAGATACCAGTCCATCAAAATGTAGACACAATCACGCTGGTACTGTAACGAGAGCCGGTCCAGGCTCCCACAAAGCGTAGTTCAGGACCCTATGCAGATGGTATAATCCAGAAGTAAGTGGAGAAGGACATCAGGGGAAGGTACAGCAGGATAGGACAGGGTGACAGACAAGGGCGCGTGACGATGGTGATCCAGTGCTCGGGGGGCGTGGCGCTGGCAAACAAGTTCAGACAGTCCAAGGGGAAAATCCGGGGAGCAGTCCAAAGTCCAAAACCGGGGGATCCATCAAAGACGAGACAGTTAAAATCCGGAACAGGATCTGTAACAAAAAGAGGGAATAAAACCAAGGTAATGAGGCCAGGCGCTCCAAGCCCCGGACTCAGATGGTCAGGAAGCCGTGATGAAGCCTATACCGTCAGGTCACTCCTGGACCAGCTGGTAGGCGGGCTTCCGTGCGTCCATCTTCCAATGCTGAGCCAGGCTTAAATAAGGAGACAAAACAGGAGGCAGGTGCACATAATCAAACTTATATACAAAAGGGCTGAAGCGCCCTTAAGAGGAGGGATTACGATTGTGACAGGTACAAACAGCAATGAGCCCAGCCAGCATGTCTTTGGAACGTGGGAAGAAACCAGAACACTCAGAAAACCCACACGGATAAGGGATATTGGAAGAGCATGCAAACTCTACACAGAATGCACCCTGGACATGATTCAAACCCAGGGTCCAAGAGCTGTGAGGCAGTGATAATCATCATGCCACAGTGTCTATATACCTGTACATATAAACAATAATGCCTCATCAGCACTTTTAAATTATCTAAGTAAGAGGAGCAAGTATATCCATTAAATCAAGTAGTGCACCTTACAGAATATCACATTCTTTAAAAATGGATAGACAATATAAGAATGGATTTCTTTTTGCTACTGCACACAGCAATATCTGCTGTATACTGATAAATATAGCATATTTTACACAAGCTGCTATTTAAACTTGGATTATATCTAAAAGAAAACAACAGACTAATATTTTGCATCTTAAGACACACAAACAAAAGCTGCAGATTGACACTGTCAGATATCAAAAAGAGAAAGAAAATTTTCAATTTGGCAGAGGCATTAGTCTGTACTACTAAGTACTAAGTATCCCTACCAAGAGTCTAGATTAATATCGCTGGAAAAAATGTTATGAAGTTTTAAATTTGCAAGAAGGTAAATGGGTAGAAGGGGAGCAGGAAATTCCATCAGCAAGTCACTTGATATGGTAATATTTCCTCAAAACTGCAGATCATCACAAGCAAAATGTAAGTGCTGATTAAGCACCACACAGGGTTTTTTATTCCACAGTCACTGATGAGCTTACAGGCTGTAAAGATCGGTGTTATACAGGTACACAAAGGAACATTTGGACCAGAATTTAAAGTTATGTTAGCAGATACAGCTTATCTAGATTCTAAATACATTACAGTGCTGGGGTTCAGTTCCAGACCTGTGGTGTTGTCTGTGTGGAATTTGTACACACTCCACATAGTTTCCAGAGGCTACTCTCATTTTCTCTTGCTACTGTTCTGTTTTTTTTTTACTCCACTCCCATGCAGAGGTCCATTTTTGGAGGTGGGTGTGTCCCTAAATTGGGTCTCTGTCTGGATTGGTTGAAGAGAGCGGTCCGGTTTTAAATGCCGTATGGGACATCGGGAG